ATCATGAAAGTGTTCTCAAAGCTGGTGAAGGTGCAGCTAGTTTGAAGTACTTTGTATACTGCAGGGTAGCTGGTGGATTTACTCCAGGTGGAACTAAAGTCTGATTCAACACTTGATTAGATTTCACATCATTCATCCACATCTGTGAAGTAACTAAAGGTATCAAATACATGTAGTGGGGTAGAAGTACACAGTTTACCTCTGAACTGTAGTGGAGTAGAAGTACACAGTAGCACAACATGGAAAGTAAAAGTATCTCAAAGTTGTATTTAAGAACAGTACTTGAGTAAATCTACTTAGACACTTTACACCTCTGCGTAATACTGCAGATTTAGTGGAATATCCGAGTACTTCTTGTACCCGCTACTATATTCAAAGATATACACGTCAGTAAATACTGAGAGTAGTTGTGTTATTAAATCTCAAACCATGCTGGCTGCTGCTCTGCGCCGCTCCCTCCTGAGTCCGGGGTGTGTGTGTGTCCTCATAGGAAAGTGAAGGAAAGCCATTCACATCTGAGAGCTGCACCCTGAAACCAGCTGAAGTCTGAACGTGTGAAACTTTACAGAGAGCGAAGTCTCAGCAGTCTGCAGATCACTTCCTCTAAACGGACCAGAGGTGCTTTCACTGCCCGGGAAACAAAGCTGTCCTCTGCAGAGCCTGAGCAGAAACCCTCAAAACTAACCTGACCAAGGCTTGTTTTTATCAGAGTGAGAGATAGTGTGAGTGTGTGTAGAACGAATAAAAGTTAGCGCTGAGCTTCAGTCTGCAATGTTCAAAACAACAGATAGAGCCAGAAATCTAGGTGTAGTCATGGACTCTGACCTGAGTTTCAACAGTCACATTAAAACTGTTACTAAATCAGCCTACTATCACCTAAAGAATATATCTAGGATTAAAAGACTAATGTCACAGCAGGATTTGGAAAAACTTGTCCATGCTTTTATCTTCAGTAGACTGGACTACTGCAATGGTGTCTTCACAGGTCTCACTAAAACATCTATTAGGAAGCTGCAGCTGATTCAGAACGCCGCTGCTCGAGTCCTCACTGACACTAAGAAAGTGGATCACTCCTGTTCTGAAGTCTTTACACTGGCTTCCTGTGTGTCAAAGAATAGATTTCTAAATACTGCTGCTGGTTTATAAAGCACTGAATGGTTTAGGCCCAAAATACATTTCTGACCTCCTGCTAAATGATGAACCATCCAGATCTCTCAGGTCTTCAGGGACTGGTCAGCTTTCTGTCCCCAGAGTCAGAACTAAACATGGAGAAGCAGCGTTCAGTTATTATGCTCCAAATATCTGGAACAAACTCCCAGAAACCTGCAGGTCCGCTGCAACTCTGACTACTTTTAAATCCAGCAAGAAGACTTTTCTTTTTGTCGCTGCTTTTAATTGAACTATTCATATCTTAGACTGCACTGTAACTTTTATCCATGTACTTTTTTCTTTTAATGTTTAATTTATTAGCTTTTCTTTTTAATGACTGATTTTAAATGCCTTTTTCTGAATGTCTTTCGTTTTTTGTAAAGCACTTTGAATTGCCTTGTGTTGAAAAGTGCTATATAAATAAACTTGCCTTTCCTTTCCTTGCTGTGTGTGTGTGTGTGTGTGTGTGTGTGTGTGTGTGTGTGTGTGTGTGTGCGTGCGTGCGTGCGTGCGTGCGTGTGTGTGTGTGTGTTTGCTCTGGTGTTTACTCACACTGCACTGATTAATAACTCCAGGTTAACTAAATACAAAAAAAACAGCCGCCTTTTTTTCTGGAGATAATCTTTTTAACCAGATTTTTTTTGAACTTCCATTACCCTGAACAATTTGTAGATATGGTACTCAAACTATACCTTATTGCATTTAAATTAAAAAGTATATATATATATATATTGTATACACTAGTATAATGTGTGTCCTATGCCCACATATATATTTTTTATTTCTTTATGTATTTAATATTCTGTTGTATTCTGGATAGTTGTTTTTTTCTGTGGATATTTATTTTATTATGTTTTAATTCATTTGCCTTGTTTTAATCTATTCTCTTTAAACCAGATCGACTCTGTATTTTTACTTTCCCTGACAAATGTGTAGATATTGTTAAACTCGTCATTAATGCATTTATATTTTTATTTAAATTCAACTTGCATCTGTAAAATGTATATTTCAAGTATCCTATGTTTATATTATATTTCATTTTGGACATAGATTTGAATTCTTATATATTTGTACTTACTAGTGTACTTGAGTAGAAGTACTCAGATCTGGTACTTGAGTAAAAGTAGAAGTACTCAGATCTTGTACTTGAGTAAAAGTAGAAGTACACAGGTCTTGTACTTGAGTAAAGTTGAAGTACTCTGATCTTGTACTTGAGTAAAAGTAGAAGTACTCAGATCTTGTACTTGAGTAAAAGTAAAAGTACTCTGATCTTGTACTTGAGTAAAAGTAGAAGTACTCTGATCTTGTGCCTGAGTAAAAGTAGAAGTACTCTGATCTTGTACTTGAGTAAAAGTAGAAGTACTCAGATCTTGTACTTGAGTAAAAGTAGAAGTACTCAGATCCTGTACTTGAGTAAAAGTAGAAGTACTCAGATCTTGTACTTGAGTAAAGGTAGAAGTACTCAGATCTTGTACTTGAGTAAAAGTAGAAGTACTCAGATCTTGTACTTGAGTAAAAGTAGAAGTACTCAGATCTTGTACTTGAGTAAAAGTAGAAGTACTCAGGTCTTGTACTTGAGTAAAAGTAGAAGTACTCAGATCTTGTACTTGAATAAAAGTAGAAGTACTCAGATCTTGTACTTGAGTAAAAGTAGAAGTACTCAGATCTTGTACTGGAGTAAAAGTAGAAGTACTCAGATCTTGTACTTGAGTAAAAGTAGAAGTACTCAGATCTAGTACTTTAGTAAAAGTAGAAGTACTCTGATCTTGTACTTGAGTAAAGTAGAAGTACTCAGATCTTGTACTTGAGTAAAAGTAGAAGTACTCATGTCTTGTACTTGAGTAAAAGTAGAAGTACTCAGATCTTGTACTTGAGTAAAGTAGAAGTACTCAGATCTTGTACTTTAGTAAAAGTAGAAGTACTCAGATCCTGTACTTGAGTAAAAGTAGAAGTACCAGAGTGTAGGAATACTCTGTTACAGTAAAAGTCCTGCATTCAAAATGTTCCTCAAGTTAAAGTAGAAAAGTATTCTCATCAAAATTATAGCATAAAATGGAAGATAAGTAAAGTACAAGTACCTCTAAATTGTACTTCAGAACAGTACTTGAGTAAATGTTCTGAATTACTTCCCACCTCTGAAGTTGATGTATTTATTAAATCGTAGTTTATCTTTTGTACACACATTGTTAGATTAGATTATTCTACCTTATATTTTAAGTCTACTGATGATATGCATTTACTTTTTGAAATGTTATTTCTTATTATATTTTATGATATCTTTAAATCACATGCTCTGTCTTGTAAACCTGCTGCTGTAACAAAGCTATTTGGGATGAATTAAGTCAATCAAATCTTATAATTAAAATCATTTTAAGCAGTAAATTCAAATCAATAATACAGCAGACCGACACGCAACCATAAAGTCAATTAGAGCGGAAAAATGAGTCTGAAAAACAAACCAATCATAAGACGGAGCCTCCATCATCACATACTGACCAATATCTCATGTTTAGCCAACACACATAATGAAGGGCGGTGTGTGTGTGTGTGTGTGTGTGTTTCCAGACAAAGCAGATAAGTTTGGAAGCAGTTATTCAGAGTCATAGGGTCTGTCTTCAATGTTCCTGAAATATTCCCAGACCTCCACTCCCCCTCATTCCACACACACACACACACACACACACACACACACACACACACACACACACACACACACACACACACACACACACACCACACACACACACACACACACACCCACACACACACACACACACACACACACACACACACACACACACACACACACACACACACACACACACACACACACACACACACACACACACACACACACACACACACACACACACACACACACACACACACACACACACACACACACACACACACACACACACACACACACACACACACCTCTGTGTGTGAGAATATTTAAGAGCAGCTTGCTAAGTCTCACACATAAACACCCCCCCCCCCCTCCCCCTGTTTGTCTTTCCAGCGGTGTGACCCACTTTGGAAAGCTGTCCCACTGCACTGCAGCCGTCTAAACTTCCCCTGCTGCAGTGACGTGTGTGTGTGTTTACTCACTCTGTGCCTCGTTCCAAAGGACATGCTGCGTTAAACCTCCCCCATCAGGCCCTCTCTCCCCAGCTGGATTTCCCTCTCTAGTTGTTGTTGAAGTGAACCTGTTTTCTGTGGAATAGCAGCTGCCTCGCTCGTCTCTCCTTCACCAGCTGAGCGTTTCTCTGAAGACTCAGTTTTAATCCAGACCCTCCCCTCGCAGGAAAAGCCACATTTCCTCTCACGCAGGCAGAGGAGAAAACACACAAAGCAGAAAAGCTCCTGCTGACGCATCAGCGGACGCTCTGATTGGCTGACGCTCTGATTGGCTGACGCAGCACAGGCAGATGTTTGGTTGACCGAGCAAGCAGGTCAGGGATTGGCTACTGCAAGGTCACATGATGCTATGACAGCAGAGCATTACTGCATGTGTGTGTGTGTGTGAGAAGACACACCTAGCCACAGAGAGGAGGAGGAAGAGGAGGAAGAGGAGGAGGAAGGTAAATGTAGTTTTTTAACCAGTTTTTACAGGTTTTATGTAAATACAGGTTCTTAGTGAATCCCACAGAAGTGAAAGAGGTACTCAGATTCACTAAAAATAGCAATACTGTGGTGTAAAAATACTCTTTTATGAGTAAACATCCTGATTTCTATGTGACTTAAGCTAAAGTACCAGATACGGCTATTTTTACAGTTTGTATCATTGTTATAGAATATTAAGTACTACTGTTTTTAGAACTAACAACAAATACATGAAAGAGTATTTTAAAAGTGTCATTAAAACATTAGGTATATTAGTAGTAGAGTACTTCATGTATTGTATATGTTAATAGGGTTCATTAGATGCAGTGCAGTACTTGCCTCTGAAATGTAAAAAACAAAAAGTATAAGATATGGAAGACGTACTCATTCAGTAACAGTAGGGATACTATGGTGTAAAAATACTGAACTCAATGTTACAAATATACAAGTATATATAAAAGTATTATCAGCACAAAGTACTAGATATGTTTTTTTCTACACTTATCATTATGAGGTATATTAGTAGTAGAGAACGTCATAATATCATGTATTTTATATGTTAATAGGGTTCATTAGATGTAGTAGAGTGCAAGATTTGCCTCTGAAATATGAAATGATATGGAAGAAGTACTCCTTCAGTAAAACTATGGTCTTAAAATACTTCATTACAAGTAAAAAAACCTGATTTCTATGTGTTATTTAAGCCAAGTTAAGTATTATCAGCAAAGGTGCACTGAAAGTAGTCGGTACTACAGTTTTATAACACTATATAAATCAGTGTTATCACTTACAATACATGTCAGAGTGTTTTAATGTTGTAGTTCAGGGGTGAGCTTTCCACTGAAGGCCAGAGGTGAGGTATGTTGCCTCATAAGTTCAGATGTAAGTCTGCAGAATCAATCAAATGTAGGTCAATTATTCTTGAATATGCTCTAAGAAACATCTCAGCTCTCCAGATGGTTTCATGTATGTTGTTTAAAGCTCCTTCCGTAAAACAGAATCCTCAGATTGATTATAATGAGAGGAAATATGGAGGGTCTATTTCAAGCTTGTTATGGAAATAAGTTATTGGGCTTTTTTTGAACCAAATGAAGCTCAGCGCAAGTTCAACCAGGAAGACCGTCTTTCCTCATTCCTTTACTAGGTCTGTGTTATTACTCTCTCTCCTCTCAATAAGTGATCAGGGGCGTCACTCCCCAGCTTAACCAATCACTTCGCTCTATTCTCACAAGCCTATCATAGCACTCCGTTAACCTTTTAAATCTGCTCTCCCCTCTGACAGCTGTCATTTCAGGTGACTCGACGCAACCCTCCTCCCCCCTTTTCACCTCCTGTCCCTCTGAATCCAGGGTCAAGCTAAGCCCCTCCCCTTCAGACCGAACCCAACCATCCACTCACCACCACCAGGGTCAAGCTAAGCCCCTCCCCTTCAAACCGATCCCAACCATTCACCACCACCAGGATCAAGCTAAGCCACTCCCCTTCAGACCAATCCCAACCATTCACCACCACCAGGGTCAAGCTAAGCCACTCCCCTTCAGACCCACCCCAACTATCCATTCACCACCACCAGGGTCAAGCTAAGCCCCTCCCCTTCAGACCGACCCCAACTATCCATTCACCACCACCAGGGTCAAGCTAAGCCCCTCCCCTTCAGACCAAACCCAACCATCCATTCACCACCACCAGGGTCAAGCTAAGCCACTCCCCTTCAGACCGACCCCAACTATCCATTCACCACCACCAGGGTCAAGCTAAGCCCCTCCCCTTCAGACCGACCCCAACTATCCATTCACCACCACCAGGGTCAAGCTAAGCCCCTCCCCTTCAGACCAAACCCAACCATCCATTCACCACCACCAGGGTCAATCTAAGCCACTACCCTTCAGACCGACCCCAACTATCCATTCACCACCACCAGGGTCAAGCTAAGCCCCTCCCCTTCAGACCGACCCCAACTATCCATTCACCACCACCAGGGTCAAGCTAAGCCCCTCCCCTTCAGACCGACCCCAACTATCCATTCACCACCACCAGGGTCAAGCTAAGCCCCTCCCCTTCAGACCGACCCCAACTATCCATTCACCACCACCAGGGTCAAGCTAAGCCCCTCCCCTTCAGACCGAACCCAACTATCCATTCACCAGGGTCAAGCTAAGCCACTCCCCTTCAGACCGACCCCAACTATCCATTCACCACCACCAGGGTCAAGCTAAGCCCCTCCCCTTCAGACCGAACCCAACTATCCATTCACCAGGGTCAAGCTAAGCCACTCCCCTTCAGACCAAACCCAACTATCCATTCACCACCACCAGGGTCAAGCTAAGCCCCTCCCCTTCAGACCAAACCCAACTATCCATTCACCACCACCAGGGTCAAGCTAAGCCCCTACCCTTCAGACCGAACCCAACTATCCATTCACCAGGGTCAAGCTAAGCCACTCCCCTTCAGACCGACCCCAACTATCCATTCACCACCACCAGGGTCAAGCTAAGCCCCTCCCCTTCAGACCGAACCCAACTATCCATTCACCAGGGTCAAGCTAAGCCACTCCCCTTCAGACCGACCCCAACTATCCATTCACCACCACCAGGGTCAAGCTAAGCCCCTCCCCTTCAGACCAAACCCAACCATCCATTCACCACCACCACCAGGGTCAAGCTAAGCCCCTCCCCTTCAGACCAAACCCAACCATCCATTCACCACCACCAGGGTCAAGCTAAGCCCCTCCCCTTCAGACCAAACCCAACTATCCATTCACCACCACCAGGGTCAAGCTCCTCCCCTTCAGACCAAACCCAACCATCCATTCACCACCACCAGGGTCAAGCTAAGCCACTCCCCTTCAGACCGACCCCAACTATCCATTCACCACCACCAGGGTCAAGCTAAGCCCCTCCCCTTCAGACCGACCCCAACTATCCATTCACCACCACCAGGGTCAAGCTAAGCCCCTCCCCTTCAGACCGAACCCAACTATCCATTCACCAGGGTCAAGCTAAGCCACTCCCCTTCAGACCGACCCCAACTATCCATTCACCACCACCAGGGTCAAGCTAAGCTCCTCCCCTTCAGACCGACCCCAACTATCCATTCACCACCACCAGGGTCAAGCTAAGCCCCTCCTCTTCAGACCGAACCCAACTATCCATTCACCAGGGTCAAGCTAAGCCACTCCCCTTCAGACCGACCCCAACTATCCATTCACCACCACCAGGGTCAAGCTAAGCCCCGCCTCTTCAGAACGAACCCAACCATCCATTCACCACCACCAGGGTCAAGCTAAGCCCCTCCCCTTCAGACCGACCCCAACTATCCGTTTACCACCACCAGGGTCTAGACCCCGAGGGGTTTCATCGGATCGGTTCTCCCCTCCTGAATGATACTCCTGCACAACGGGGCCTAATCGCCAAAACTCCATTACATTCATTTGTGTATTCCTGCCAATAAATGTGTATTCTTATCAAAACCGTCTCTCCTGATTGAACTAAGATTTGTCAGAAAGTGTTTCCACTTTAATTGACTGGGCTCATTAACACATGAATACTACTGTGTGATATATGTTTACGTATATATTTAAGAACAGCATAAGTTTCATGTGTGGGACATACCGCCATTATACTTTTTGAATCGACTGAGGGCCATTTACAAATGGACAACGAGCCGCAGTTTAGACCCCCCTGATGTAGTTTATCGATATGGAGTGGTGTAGATAAGTAGTAGAGTACTGCATCATATATATTTAAAATCAATTAGAGTTATATAAATTCAGTGGAGTGCAATATTGGCCCTGGGAAATGTAAAGGAGTAAAAGCATAAAGTAACAGAGGTGGAAGAAGTACTCAGATCAAGTAAAAGTACATAAAAATACCTTGTTGCAAATAAAAGTCATTCATTTAAGGCGAGGGGTAAACGTTTTAAATACTATAGCACAAGTAAAAATCCTCAATGTAATGTGTTATTTCAGGAAAAATGCAAAATGTCTAGCAGAAGTAAAAGTACTCCATATGGCTAGACTAGAATTCCCCTGATGTGCAATAACTGTCTGTAAATATAATACTTTCTGCAATATACCCTCCTGCAGTTTCACATGTATTACCATGCTGTACATATCTGCTGTTTCGTGTCTTACTTATTGTTGTTATTAATGTGTGCATACAGTCAACAACCAGCACCCCCCCCCCCCTACCTCACAGACCTGCTGCACCACCACACCCCTTCCCGCTGCCTCCGCTCATCAGAAGCCAACCTCCTATCCATCCCCACCCGCACCAATCACCGGACCTGGGGGGACAGAGCCTTCTCCGTCGCTGCCCCCTCCCTCTGGAACTCACTCCCACAACCCTCACTCTATCTGATGTTTTAGTCGCGTGCATTCCCCCGTTACGGGACAAAAAAAGGATTTCTGATTCTGATTATATTGTACTAATGTTATAAAATACTATATTATAAAATAAGCTAACAGATTGACTACATATTGAGCAATGCAGGCATGGGGACTTCTTAGTGAATCTCACACAGAGGTGGAAGAAGTACCTGGTGCTTTATCTTAAGAAATACTGCATACAAATACCTGGTTGCAAGTCCTTCATTTAAAGTAGTACTTGAGTAAAAGTACAAAGTGTTATCAGCGACTAAAGAGCAGAATGGAAGTGACAATAAACTGACAGAACAATAATACCAAACAGACCAGCAGCAGTAAATCAAACTGCTCATTAAACCTGAACCTGGTCCTGATACAGGTCCAGAGAAACTTATTGACACAACAGCCTCCATTTCTGATGACATGAATGTCACCTGTATTTCCATCCATATACTGACTCGGATAAAAACACCTGAGATCCAAAGTGCCTTTCAGGTCGTCACACGGTGTCCAAAGCATCCGATTCAAGGACTTTTCAATAACTTTCCAATCTAAATGTAGGAGGACTAAAAACAACATATATGCAGTTAATTATGGTTTCATGGCTGAGAATGTTTATAATACAATGTGAAGATTTTCTTGCTATTTTTAAAGACGTTTAACCTGGAAAAATGCACTTAATTCACTCATGCATCGAGGCATGTGTAAAACAATATAGTGGATAGTCAAGAATAAATAAAAATATTAATAAATAATTCAAATAAAAACATATTAAAACTAGGGCCGGGACTCGATTAAAAAAATTAATCTAATTAATTAGAGGCTTTGTAATTAATTAATCGAAATTAATCGCATTTTTAATCACATATAAATATTTGACCT